TCATCCAACTACCCAACCCAGTTCCAAAGTTTCAGACAATCTTCTTCATCATCATGAGTCTGCCTATTCCCACTACTGGAACTCAAGGTAGCTTATGACATTAAAAACATGTACTCTTAAAACATGAATAGAAATGTACACAAGTTAAAATATAATTAAATCAGCTAGATTAGCAAAATTATATAGGAGCCACAACTAAAAACAACGGTAAGAACAATATAAACAGTAAAACAATACAGATAACAAAACTAGACCCACAACGTCCCAAAGGTCCGGGTTGTTCCAAAAGCCTTTAGGAACAGAAAAGATTTTGCCTGCCTCCAAAAGCAGGCCAGGGAGGCCGTGGTTCCAGCCTGCGTAGGAGTGGATAACTGCTTCCTCTCTGGTCCTTTCGAACGGAGGTGCCAGGTGCTGAGCCTGAGCCCTTCCTCATGCCAAGCTCCTGCTCCAGCACCAAGCTACGTGGTCTCCCCCTGCTCTCCATGCTGGGGCTCCGGAGTCCAGGGTTTTCATGAGACAGGGTAAAAGATCAGCAAGTAAGAGATGCATACTTGGCCCAGCCATTTGCTGCAGGCACGGAAGTTTGCGTGTGTATACACACGGTCCTCCTGCCCTCCTGTCCAATTCCCTTAAAGGAAAGGGTATCTCTCTGCTAACATTCCTTGACTGAATATCATGGCGTTCTGAAAAGGGGGGCTGTTGCTTTCCTTTAACTGAAACATCCTTTACCTAGAAAGAAATATATTTATTTGGAACGAAAACTCTTTTTTGCAAGAACAGGTCAGTTATGCAATCATAAAAGACAGGCACAATCCACAGGGACTTTAAAATCCTTTAGATAACTTTGGCAGTATTGTGTCAACTAAATTAAAATTAAAATGGAGCATTGTATGGTCCAAGTTTTCCAGAGCTGTGGGATTAAGTTAGACTTTGATTCCTACATTGTCTTCTCACAATCTGCTCACATTTCTTTAGTTGTATTGTCCCTGATCCAGCTCAGGTTAGCTGGTTTGAAATCCCACTGAAGCCAAAGGGATTTGCATTAGTTGTGAGTGGGGACTAATTTATCCCATTGAGTTCTAATTGTTAAAGCATGACTAAGGGGATGCCCTATACAGATGTCAAACTCATGGGATACAAAGGCAGAGGGAATTTCTGCTGCCTGCCAATTCCCCCCTGCCCCCATCCCTGTTATCTCTACTTGATCCCACAGTTGTATTTGCAGGGTTTATGCAGATACAGGGCAGAGTGAAAGCAGCTGGACAGGGAGTGCTTCGGGAGAAAAAGTGCTGCCAGTGCCAGGGCCAGGGCTAGCCCCACTTTCCATCTCAGCCTGGCCTTCTTCTGATGCAAACCATCACTTTCGCAGGGTGACGCAGGGCTTCATTCCATGATATATAATATATAATTTGCCCCGGCTTTTGATGGATCCAGGGTAATAAGACCAGTCACTCCAAAGGTGTCATTCTTGGTTCATTCACATGTCACGATCCTCAAGTTCCTTGTGCAATTGTTCCAGAATAAGCATGCTAGACAGCATTTCCTGGCATTAAATAGATTGGTAACAACCACAAAAAACTCAGTACCAAGAAAGTGCATCAGAAAATGGTGAAGGAGAATTAGTTGCAATTCACTGAGGCATAATCTGCTAATCCTGTGCTGGTGAATGCTGTGATGTTTGCGCTAGTTCTTAGTGCTTTTTTGCATGTGGTATTGACAGAGATTTCGATGGGTGGCGTGCCCTGATATAGCACATTGCCAACAAAAGCCTGGGAGGATGGATCTGTGGGTTCCTCCTACGTGTGTGAGTCTGTGTCTGCCTATATATATATATATATATATATATCTGTATGTATCTGTCTAAAAGCCCTGTTGATGGACTTATTGCCTAATCTGAGTGGCAAAAGAACTGGATAACTGTTTCCACCATGAAGTTCAGGGGCCTATTTGTGGTTCTCTTTCTAACTCCTTGTTTCTTTGCAGGTAAGTACATTTCAGCTTATTTTATATACAACTGGTACAAGCCATTAAAAATGGATCAGTGGAACCTCACATCATTTTGCCATTCCCAGGAAAAAAAAAAATCCTTAATTTCAGTGGGATGGTGAACCTGACTGCCCACAGATTTTCTCAAATCTTAAAAGATAACACTAGTGCCTTGGCAATGTGGAAAACCTTCGGAAGGGGTACCATGGGCTGGGAAGACTGTTCCATCTCCAATTGTGAGTTTATAGAAAATTGATTGTGCTTGGGTATTGCATGTGTGGTTAATTTGGTAACGAACCTTCATTTCATTCAAAATATTGGAGTGAAAGTTAGATTTCTCACAGAGGAGCATTGGTGGATCCTTTTAATGAACTCCTTAATAGCTTCCCCACCACGGCCCCCAGCACAAGCCTTACTTTGTTGTGTGAGGTCTCTTGCACATTCAGGACCTCTCTGCTCAGAGGATTCCGTAGAGCAGCACAAATCTGGGGATTCTTCCTCAGATCGGACCCTGTTTGCCAAAAGGGAGTGCTATTGCTGCATACCCTCTGTGGACTGGCGTGCACTTCTTCAGATGCGTACAGGATTATCCCCGGGCCTTTTCTGGGTGGTGGGGGTGGATATATCCACAAACAAGTGGCTATATTTCTATATCCAACATTCTAATATGTTTCTATATTTCTTTCTCTATGGAAAGAGATTTTTGTGCAGAGACCAAATGTGGGCGAGATATGAATGGAGCGACCGGTTCACTACTATGGTTGCAGCAATAATGCCTTTTGCTCTTCTGAATGGATCACTCAGTTCATCACTTACATCTATGCTTTGTATAGAGATCTTACTGACCTACTTGCATTTTGTTATCTTTTGGCACCCACGGTCTGTATGTGCGCTCTATCTCTCCCTCAGATGTGCGTGCACATCGCTGCCAAATGAGGGCAACACTGCCTTTGACAAAATCCACAAAAAACTCTGGCCGAGGCTTGTTGGGTCTCTTCTGTGCTGCAAGAAAGCAGAGAAGGAGAAACTGGTCACCCCGGGCTGGGCAACTCGCAACCACCGGCACCCTCGTCTTTCATGCCTCCCCCCTGCCCACAAATGGCTGCCATCAGACTGCCACATGCCACCACACCACTGGCGACGTGCAGGGAAGCCTCGTATCCCTTCAAGTCAGGAGACCAGGGAGCGCACTGCAGTTTGGATCATGCTCCCCGGGGAATGGAAATGCACCCTTTTGTCACTGCCAAGCTGCTGCTGAATTGCAGGCGAATCCCGTGGCGGTTCAGCAGCAACTGGAGTGGCTGAGTGCATGGAGGGTGCCGTTCCTAAACCCTCCAGAATCTCCCACGCTTGTTGTCCCCCTCTTAAGTAGATGGATCCTCAGGTGGTTCCTTTACGGGTGTTCCAGGGAAAAAAGGGACCTGTTGTGGAACGTGCCGGGCGGTCATGCGGCGGATTGTAGGAACACTGTGGCAGAAACAACAGGGTGCAGGTTTGTTCGGGAGACGGCCACAGCCGGGATTCACACTGCACGCGCACGTGCCTGTGCACCCGGGGGTTTGTGGGCAGGGGAAGTGTTCAGAAACTCCATGCTGACAGTTCCACATTCAGAGGTTCCCCCCGCTGGTGTCAGGAGATACAGGTCTGGATGAAGTGTTGCCAGGAATAGCACACGTTCCACAGTGCTCGTTTGCTTTTAAAGAGAAGAGGGAAGAGCAAGTGGAGGCTAGGACCCAAGGGCTTCTCCAGAGGGGTTCTTAACCAGGTGCCTTACAGAGGCTCCTGTCGTCAGAATCTATGCAGGCTGAAGATCAGCTCCTTTACACATTTCTCCCCCATGGATTTTTTCTTTCTCTCCTTTCTGTTTTCCATTGCACATTTATTTATTTAAAACTTTTATATGCCCTCCTATATGTGAGACATCTCAGGACAGCTTGCAATATTAAAATCACAATGCACTAAGACGATCAATTGCAATATAAGAAAACAATATATAACCAATAAAATTAAATTAATTAAATCAAAGTGACTGTTAAACCATTAAAATGTTAATTTTTAAAGTAACGATTGAATAAAAAGGTTTTGACCTGGCACCAAAAAGAATATAGGCTCGGTGCCAGGTGAACCTTTCCAGGGAGAGCATTCCACAATCTGGGCACCACCACAGAGAAGGCCCTGCTCCGAGTAGATTTTTTTTTACCTCCTGCAGGGAGGGTTCCCAGAGCAGGGCCTCTCCCGCAGATCTTAAGGGGCATGAGGGCATATAAGGAAGGAGACGTTCCCTCAGGTATCCCGGTCCCAAGCCATTCAGGTCTTTATAGGTCAAAACCAGCACCTTGTACTTGGTGATATGTCAGTAAATAGCATTGCATGAATACTGGGTGGCTTCTGGTTCATTCTGCCCTTTCCACGTAATGGCTCACTTTCCTCAATCTCAAAAAGCCATGGAAATGGTTGCAAAGCACAGGAGAGGGCCTGGAGGAGGAGGATAGCAGGTAAAGCGTCCCAAGCCACCACCAACGCACAATTAACGCTTTAGGCAGGGAATCTCTAAAATGGACGAGCAGCCAGAGTCCTGCTGCTGCTCATACTCCTTCACGTTCTCATTTGCAGTTTCATTTGCCAGTCAAGGGAAAAAAACAGGCACTGCTGCAGCTTCTCACCTGAGGAAAGAACACCAGCCGGGCAGTGGGCAGTGGGGAGAACATTTGGAAAGGAAGAAGCTCTCTACCCAGACTTCTTTAGTTCGTTACTGCAGTCACGAGCAGCAGCTTTGCATTAAATGAACTGTGCCATATGACTGTATCTAACATATGGTTTGGTGCACAAATGTAAGCTTTTCCTTCTTCTCCATTCCCATCCATGTTTCAGCTTAGCTATGTGGCTTTTGTTTTGAGTCAATAAATAAAGTGTTACAGGATTGCAGCTTATATTATTCACCGTTTGAACCCTATTTCTGTCAATGACTGCTTTGATCTCATTGTATCTTTCATGCATGTGATTTTGTCTTAGGGATGCTCATGGCTGATGGAAGTCAGGTGAGTGCTTTCTTACAATGTGCTTAACAGTGTGACCCCAGGGGCCCTCAGTGCCTTCCGGGACCACAGATAATGTGACAACATCATCTGCAGAGAAGTAGGGATTCTGAACAGGAGTTCCACACAAGACATCCTCACACCAGCCCAGGCCCAAGAGGAGCTCTCTTGGAGCCTCAGGAGAATGTGAGTTGCCACCTCAAAGTCCCATGTCGCTTCTGCTGTTGCAAGATCTCCCAAGTCCCTGCAGGGCTCTTGGAAGGGTTCAGCAAGGCCTGGTGAGACCCACCCAGAGACCGTGCAAGCCACAGCTGGCCAGGGAAGGTGGTGATAGCACAGGATCTTGCAAGACCCAAGAGGGCTCTTTCGGCTCATTCTGTGTTTTGCAGCTTCTCCAGTAACCTCTGCTTCCAGGAAAGCCTCCCGGATGACTTACCCCGGCTTTCTCTCATGGGGCTTCCCAGGGCAACTGCCTGCTGACAGCTGGAAAGCTGAGCAGGATATTCCGTTCTTGTTCCGTAGTCATTAAAAGTGCTATGCATGGACAAAGGGAACAACAACAACAAATCTTCTATTAGATTTCAGGTATTCGCACACTACCCCAAAGGCAGCTTGACACTGAAGTTTGGACTTCGCTCTTGGGTTTAATCCAAATTTGTGCCCCCTACAGTTTTCTGAGAACATGATTCTGCATTAAAAGCAAGCAGTGTGTGCACACATCACATTTTCCAAAGGAAGGGGAGTTTTTTGCTGCTACCAAATTTCTGTGCAACCCACAGTGGGTTCCAAGTGTGGCAAATTGACCCCAAAATTACCTGGCCTAAGAAGTCAAAGAAATGTTTCCAAAAAAATCTTATTGTTGGAAACCTGTTGTATATTTGGTTATATGTTGGTTCAGCAGAGGTAAGATTAAATATCAGATTTAGTTAAGAGACTGTTGTTTGCATCTGTTAGAATCCACACTGTGAGAGGTCTTTTAGGACTAGGTCACTTACAAACAATCTATATGTGATTTCCATGAAGAAAGGAGGTTGGTATTTTCAGGCAGGATATCTTGCTTCATTGTTAGCTTAAAGAGGGAAGAAGAGAGAAAAACATGCTTCTTCTGAGGAGGGGGGATGGTCATGTGACATTTTGCCTTCCAGTGTCACAAAGGGACAGGAAGGCCATAGTTCAAGCAGAGAGGTCTATGGCATTAACCCACTTTGGTGGGCGTATACTTAACACTTACATCTAGGAACCACAGGAAATGCTCTCTCAGTCACAGTTTACATTTGCTCTTGCTTGTAAGGCACAGCAGTATGAGGTTTTCACAGGACTTTATTTTTATTTCTGTTGGTATTGCATTGTTAAAACCCAACCATCCTTGGGCACATTAATTGTTAAGATAGGAAGAGGAGGAGGAGGAGGGGGAGGAGGAGGCACGAATTTATTGAGAGATTTGTAGAAAATAGATATAATCATAGAATAGTGGAATAGTAGAACTGGAAGAGCCATGAAGGCCATTGGGTCCAGCCCGCTGGAGTTGCAGGACACCATGTTACACCATCCTACTCGTGTGGCTGCCCAGTTTCTTTCTGAATGACCCCAGTGTGGGAGAGCCCACCACCTCTCTAGGCAGCTGGTTCCACTGTCGTATTGCTCTGACAGTGAGGAAATTTTTCCTGATATCTAGCCTGAATCTGGGTTGTCGCAACTTGAATTGATTATTCCGTGTCCTACACTCCAGTATCAGTGAAAAGAGATCTTGACCTTCCTCTTTGTGACAGCCTTTGAGGTACTAATTGAGTGATACCATGTCCCCCCTCAGTCTACTCTTCTCAGGGCTGAACATGCCCAGTGCTCTCAGTCTCTCCTCATAAGACAGTGCTTCCAAACCCTGGATGATTTTTGTTGCCCCCCTCTGAACTGCATCTAATTTTCCTGCCTCTTCCTTAAATCTTGGTGCCCATAACTGGACACAGTATTCCAGACAGGGTCTGACTAGTGAGCACTATAGGGCAATTACTATTTTTCATGATTTGGAAGTAATACTTATATTAATGCATTCCAAAAGAGTATTTGCCCTTTTGCCGCTGCATCGCATTGTTGGGTCATATTTATCCTGCTGTCCACAATAATTCCAAGGTCTTTTTCTTTTCCAGTTCTGCTGAGCCACATATTCCCCATCTTGTACTGATGCATCTTGGTAGCTATTTCATCAACGTCCTTTCAAAAGCAAAACAAAAGCCAAGAATCTGTCCCATTAACATTCCACTTTTTATATTAGTGGAAGCTTTGTAGAAGGTACTAGAAGATTAAGCATTAGGTGCCTCTGAGGGGTAGTCACATGTGGCATGAAACATGAGGGGCTGTTCCTTTATCTTCAGTCAAGGCCCCGGTTAATGCCAATTCAGTTCACATGATCTGAGGGAAACTGGATACAGCCTGTTGGTCTTCCTTGGTCCTCCTTAATTCTGCAGCTGCGCCCTGGGGGAGCTCCTTTGCAATGTCATCTGCTCATCACTGTCCTCTTCTCCAGCTTTCATTGAGTTACAGCCTTGGAATTGCTTGTGCCTGCGTTCACCTTTCAGCCCCAGTAGACCCCTTGACTGGCCTGCCCAGGGCTTCCCCATCTCTGTTTCCTTTTCTTCCCCCACTCCTGAGGAGCCCAGTGAAAGGAGAAATCTTGTTCTCCTGCAGTGACAGGAGAAGAGGCCAGTTCCACTGGCCATGTGCCACCAAGGGCCACCTGACGAAAAGAATGGCATACACACTCGACCTCAAACTCCCTTCCCAGGAAAAAGACATGCATCTTCCTGTGGGAGAAATTTCAGGTGTGCTGGTTGGTAGGATACTTGCTAACAGTGGAAGGACCAAGCAAGAAGGGTGGAAACCACACTGGAATAGAAATCACTGTGCCGTGTAGAAACCATGCAGGTTCCTCCTTATGAACCCAACCACTGCCTCTCATACCACAGCAACTCTCTGTCATGGAGCTACAGTAACTGAGCCAAGGTCCTGATCTACCTGTAATCCCCGATGTGACATAGCCATCTTCCTCCTCCCCTGAACACTGTCACACCCAGAGGACTGATGTCCTGAAGAAGTAGAACAGTCTCTCTCTTCCCTCCTGCCCAGCAGACTGCAAGCAAGGGACAAATCACTCTTGCCAGAGCTCTGAACCCAATGCAAGCAGAGGGCTTTTGAAATCAGGGCAAGGGCTGCATGAGGCTGCGAAGGCTAGAGGTGGCCCAGACCTGTCCTAGAGGTCAAGAAGCTGGAAGACGCAGGGGAAGGAATAACCCCAGAAGCTCTGGTGACCACAGACTCTCTGTGTTCCTGTTGCAGGTTGATTGTGACAACCAAGTAAGGATCATTCAGGAGGACGACTCAGAGAGGATAGTCTGCCCATATATCATCAAGCAAGTCTGCGGCACAGATGGCAAAACCTACTCCAATGAGTGTGAAATTTGTCGTCACAACCTGTAAGTATGGCAGCTATATATAATATTTTTTCTAGAAATTCAAGAATATGAAGAATGCCTAGCAACTCAAAATATCTGTATCTTTAAAAGTCCTGGAACTTCATAGAGTTTGTTTCTTTGTTTTGGCGCGGGGGAGGTCTCCATGTCCTATTTTCCAAAGCCCTATCCTATTTCATGGCAGTAGATTATTCTCCCCAAATCATCCATCAGGTCATGGAATGGAAAGTTTCAGATTCAAATGACAGGGTACATTTAGACACAGAATGTCTTATGAGGAAATCTTGGGAATAGGTTAGTAATTAGTAAAATGAGAATCATACATCCAGTAAATTTTTTGGACCAGAATATGGACACAGCGAAGAAACAAATGGGAGCCCCTGCATCAGACTTTAAACTGCACAATTCATTCCTTTCATTTCATGCATCCATTTCATTTCCATCGTGCCCAGTAGCCAAATGTCTCCAAGCAGCTCACAACAAATAAAACTGAAAAGACAGCACAGTATGGAGTGATAACATACAAAAATTGGGAACAATTTAAAGCAGCTTTAACTCTCTTAAAATAAATACCAGACACAATACAAAACATATACAAGATGTGCATGTTACATACTGAGTTCTATTATTCCCCGTTCTCCCATTTTTGCAGAGAAACTGGTGAAAATGTTGGCAAGAAGTTTAATGGGAAATGTAGTAAGGTAAGTGAACTATGAGTGGAAATTAATAAAAATGTGCATTTTTATAATGTGCTTTAAAAATACAAATTCCTCGTGGGTAAGGATGAATTTTATTGATCATTTATTTCACATCATGGGATGGCAAAAGTCCCTGGAGAAGACAGTCATGCCAGGGAAAGTCACAGGCAAGAGAAGGAAAGAAAGTTCATGCAAGAGATGAGCTGATTCAAAAAAGGAAGCCAGAGCCTGGAATTGACCGTTGCTGAGCAAGGCTGTGATGGACAGGACATCTTGGAGAGCCTTCCTTCACAGGGTCACCATACATCAGAGATGAACTGATGGCACATAACAACAGCAGTGTTTATTTTAACATTACTCCATGGCTGCAGGTCTCTAGATGTTTCATATGCAGATTCCTCATAGACGGAATGTGCATATTATTAATTCAAAGGGAATCCTTCTATTATATTGAGTGATCGATAGCCTAGTGTTAGGTTTGATTTGTGCACAGGAATGTATATGCAAATATGTTGAGAGCTAATTCTCTCAAAATACTTGCAGGTTATGCAAAACTCCAATATTAGAAGCTTGCCTAGAAAGTATACTGTGGGTCTGAAAAGGTAAAACCACACTGAAGAGTTCGTCAGCATGGTTAATGAGCAGCGTCAAGGAAGCCATTAGAAAAAAGAGGGCTTCCTTCAGAAACTGGAAATCTTGCTCAGACAGAGAAAACAAAAAGAAACACAAATTTTCATGAAGAAATTGCAAACAGATGCAAAGAACCATTTTGAGGTTTATACTGTTAAAACCATCAAGACAAACAAAAAAGAAACAATACAGTTTTCTGAAACAAGAACCCAGATAAGGAGGCAGTTGAACTATTGGAATTAAAGGGGTATTAACCCATGTGGAGAAGCTGCATGGATTCTTTCAATATGCCTTCGCAGCAGAAGTTGTAGGACATCCGTGAGGCATAAGAATATAAGACTGCAAGAACAGCCACTGTGGATCAGACCAAAGTTCATCCAGCCTAGCACTCTGCCAGTGCAGTAGCTAACCAGTTGTCCACAGGAAACCCACAATGCTGCCTCTGAGGCTAGAGATACCATAGAACCATCAGAACTACTGGCATTGATAACCTTCTCCTCTAGGAATTGATTTGGTGCCCTTTTAAAGCCATCCAAATTGGTGGCCACGTAATATGGAACTGAATCCCATAGTTGAAATATGTGGTGTGTGAAGGAGTCCTTCCTATAAGCAGCCCTGAATCTCCCACCAATGATCTGCATGAGATGACTCACTGTTGTTGGCACAGTCTGGGCCAGGGCAGCCGGAGTCAAGACGGAGGCACTGGGAGCCGGGTAGCAGGACGCAAGGCAAGGCTGCCTGAACATTGGCCAGGTCCAGTGGTCAAGACACAGGCCAAAGCTGGGAACCAGGAGGGCACCCCTGAACAAAGGCGAGGGCATGGTCATGAGCACGTCGAAGACTGAGGCCTGGGAAGACAGACAGAGCAGGGTAAACCAGAAGTGGCAGAAGGTGTGGTACAGCAGTGCAGAGCAGCAGATGCAGAAAGGCCTGCATTGCTGAGGATGTTTCTGGAGGGAAGAGCTTGCTCTTATATGGCTCTTCTTCCAGAAATGGCACGCGGCAGGAGACTGAGAGCAACACTTCCGTCTGGGACCGAACCTGCAAATACTGTGGTGTTGTTCTGGTCTTGACCACCAGATGGAGCCCTGGAGCTGTCCAGATCCAGATAGTTATTTTAGAAACATAGAAACAGAGAGAGTCAGAAGGGGTCTCCTGGGCCATCTAGTCTGACCCCCGGCTCCAGCCAGCTCTGCTCACAACATGCCCACCATGTGCATGTCCAGTCTGTCTTTGAACACCCTCACCAATGGGGCCTCAACGACCTCTCATGAACTTGTTTCTGACATGTACAATACCATGTTCCACAACGTGTGCTTTGTATGAAATATCAACTGTACAGAAGCACAGAAGGGAAGGCTCTGACGATAGACCTTTATAGGTTGGGTCCACTTTGCATGGTGGGCTGGAAACCATCCTCTAATAAACACTCTCTTAAACATATACATTACAATGAGTTTCTAATCTGTGATTTAAAAAATGTATATTCAAACATAGTGTTCATTTAAAGATATGAACATTTTATAAGAACTTTTCTTAAAAAGTCGCTTTGTCTGCTTCCACCATCTTTCATCAATTGCATAATTTAAGCATCTCAGTGCCAAACAAGAACAATCTCGAGTTCAAGAAAAGATATTTTGTAAAAAGTTGTTGCAAAACAAAAACCAGGGAGCAGAGTTTTTTTTAGCACAGAGTCTATCACTTCCAAAGCCTTTCTGGATCTTGTAGGCCAAGGCGGTAGTGCTGGGTGCGGGGCTGGTTTTCTTGCTGATCTTTTCTATTATGTATCAAGCTGCTATCCAAACTAATAGAACCCCCCCCCCAAAAAAAATCTACATTCATTCAAGCCTGGCATGGATGAGAAATCAGATGCAGGAACTTTATGGGGGATCTAGCTGGAGTCCATCCCCAGCCATGCCAGACGCCCCCATTTGTGGGCATATCTCAGAGCTTTCCTTAGCCTTACTGGGAGTCCTCTGGGATTATATTGTCCCGGTTTGGTTGGCTACTGCAATGCAATCAAGGTTGGGGTGGGGAGGTGCATTGCCCTTTATCTCAGACAATGAATTGTCTTGGCCTTTTTTAAAAAAAATCCTCCTCCTCCAATATTTAAAGTTAATCTCACTCTAGCACAAAATTCATTCATTCATTTAATCCTCCCAGCTATGTATTTGCTTAGAGCAACGAAGGAACATACTAACTCTGTCTTCTTCTACTACTTGACAGAGAAGGAATAGGAAGCGTCCGAGAGCACACTGAGTGGTGAATGATCCAAGAATCATGTGGGACACAAGCACCATCTACAAGTCTGACTCTTGCGTTGCTGCTGCATCCACCAATCAGAACTTCACAGATAAACCTATGGAAATAGCAAGCCTCCTTTTGCTGAACCCTAGCGCCTACTGAGGTGATCAACCTGTGTCTGGGCTGCTGCACCACTTCACACTGCAAAGGGAAGCTCAAAAGCCTGGCTCTTCCTCCATTCAGTGAGTCAATGAATGAAAGAACTCCTGCAGGCAGAGACTTGATAGGTCAGAAAGACCTGTCAGGGCTCTTGTTCCTGGCATGTAGTTTTCTGTGTTTTTGGGGGGATTTTTATATGGATGTACATCCCACCTGAATTCTAAGCTGATGCAGCCCAGACAGGTTCACCCCCTCAGGGAAAAGGAGGCCTTCAGACAATCATGCATAAGGGCACCTGTTTTTCTTGTAACTGTTTTCTTATTCTGTCATACAAATGCACATTTGCTCTCTTAATATTTTTTCATGACATATGCCATGCAAAGGTACAATTTTCTGAACAGTCCACCTTCCTGGAGTGTCTGACACAATTTGGAGGAAACTGTGAAGAATGAAGGTCAGAAGGAAAAGATGCTGGTCTCATTTCCATGTGTGCACAGAGTCTTTGGAAATGCCCTTAGAGCCGCAGTCTCCAGACTCTCCAGAAAGCTGATTGAAGGTAAATGGACCTTCTCCCATGATCCCACTGGATACAAGCATTTGCTTCCAGAAAGACAATCAGTAACACTCTATGCACGCTCAGATGGAAGTGCTCTGCATGCACAAAATGCCCCCCTGGGTACTCATAAAAATATTTGTTCAAAAACTCAGAATGCTCATCTGTGGACTTTCATACCATCCAACATGTCAATTTGAATTAGATTTTGTTCAAGAGTTTAACTCTTAATTTCATATATTCACTTCAACCAGTATTCTCACAGTCATTTTGCTCTTACATTAGAGCTTTCCATATTGATCTGCTTCAACTTACAGATAATCAGCTGTATTCATAAGACTATTTTAATTATTTTAGACCTTTCTGTACTTCTCTCCATGCTTAATTGTTCCCTAATAATAACCTCACAATACGCAATTATCCCAGTAGTTTAATTTTTTCATGAACCTGGTTGTATAACAGACAGTACGAGTCAAGATGGGTATCAAGAAGGTTTTATTCTTTCAGTTAATGCATTAGCACTTAATTCTGCCATGTAACCACCTAATTCCCATATTGGCAATTTTCTTATTTATATGTAAAGGAAACATCTCGAAAAGGTACTGAAAATGCAGAAGGGGATTATTTGAAGAAAGGTTGGTTCTTGTTACTCAATGGTGGTTGCAATGAGTAAGAAGATCCCGTTATCAACTGGTAATGATAACTGGTAATGATCCCATTATCAACTGGTCCTTCAGCTCTTGCATTAGGTTTCAGATCTGCTACTTCTACCTTTTTCAGCAGATGCAGGTGATTGGAAACATTTGGCACCATAAAGAGATTGGTAGTCCAAACTGAACACAGAATAGCGGCCATGTACTGTGCCTGAGCATCCCTGCTTTTCCAGCCACAGGCAATAAGAAAGATAAAGGCCTGCTCAGATGTTCAGAAATCTAATCTTGGAGCCATCAAGCCATGACATCACATAAGAAGAGCCAAGCCAAAGGTCCCTCTCATGGTGCCTTCTGTTCACAGAGAGACCCCAGGAAATCCACAGGCACAGTGTCTCTGGCACTGGAGGACGCACGGAGCCATCAGGACTGCTCATTCCTGACAGCCTCCTCACATTTATCTCTAAGTTCATCCAAATTGGATTCAAAAGGGGATTGGACAAGTTCATGGAGGAGCATATCTTGTGCAAGCAAATTCCATAATTTAACTGTACAAAGAAGTACTGAGCTTTATCAGTCCTAAATCAGTCTCGAGGGATGACTCCAGGTTCTAGTGTTATGGAAAACGGAAAAAACTGTCTCCCTCTCCACTTTCTCCATGCTGTGCATAATTCAGTACATTTCTGTCATTTCTCCACTTGCTCGCCTCTTTCCCAAGCTGAACCGTCCTGGCTGTCATAGCCCTCCACATACAGGAACCGCTGCAT